CGATTGGAAAGGGGAAGAAATTCTGCATCGGATACATTTTGAAGTATTTGTTTATCTTCATTCTAGCGTGTTTGCCGATGGATTGAAAAAACTGACAAAACTTTTGCACCGACCTAACATATATACAAAATATATATATATAATATATAAACAAAATCTAAGTCAAGCACAGGGTATTTCATGCGCTGATTGCGGTAATTGCATTCGTTTGATGCTCAAGGCACTGTGCGCAGGGATCTGCGATGTAAGCTCATTTTAATCGCGTTGGAAACATTGCTTATTGTTGCTTTCACGTGTTGCTCGTTCTAAACAGAAGGATCGCATGCCGCACTGGCCATCTGAACAAACGAAATAGTGTCATCAATTGTGCCTTGGTGAATTGATTCCTAATCAACTTTCCTTATCTGCTAAACGGCTCTCTAGTAGAAGTCTTGGGCGTCTCCAAACTTCGCAATCAGTCAGTCACATCAACTGGCGGCACAAGGACCTCTCGTTATTCGAATAGAATTTTTGCTCGTTGTAGTGAATACGCACAACATCATGTCCATCATGGTCTTTCGAACTGGTCTTTAAAGTAGTATGCAGAGGTAGCTCAATGACTCTTTACTTCCAACCGCTCATAACTTCTCTCAGAAACTCGTTCAGCAGTTAGGAAAGGTAGTATCCTTATCAAGACGCTTTGGATATGCATTTTACCAAGATCGACTGTTGTGATCTTGAGGTCATTTCTTGTTCCATAGTAGCTAATATTTACTATGACGGTACAATTGACGTTGTTACTTAGCATGCGTGATTTAGCTGTGTATAATGAACATAATATTTTCGTGAGAACGTGTTTTCACCAAACATATCGCAGCGCACATTGCACCTTAAAATTACTAGGCATTTTTTAGTAGAGCTGTGTGCTCATAACATCCACGATAGAAAACCAGTCGAAGGTTTTTCTTCAAAGCCGAGAGAGAGAGCAGTGGATTTCGGGGATATGCAAGGTCCAGGAATTATCAATTTACCGCAAGTCTACACCAGCACCGTTGAAAGCAAATTTTGCGTTAGTACTGTAACATGCATGCCATATTGCCCATCTGAGTTAAGTTTCGCATCGATCTACTTCCGTTCTGCGGACGGGTGTTTATGTAAGCGCAACTCAGTGCTTTCTGCAGATGAGAGGCTCACATAGGCATCACCCGATAGAGCAGTTTCCCTAGTTTTTAGCAGCAGGGAAAAGCGCAGAAAGTCTTTTGCTGTGAGGGATTAAATCGCTAGCAAACTTTGAAGAAATCCATGTTCACCTAGAAACTGCCTACTGTAGCCCTACAGTAAGAAGCTATCTTGCAAATGTGATACGATTTTCATGACTAGCGGGTCGGATAACCCCTACAGGCAGACTTTCTGGGAGAATCGGGACATATGATTTTTTCCCGTTCCTCGCTCTTGAACTCGCCGCAGGTTTTGCCTGAAATATTAATGATCTTGATCCGAGCTGAAACTTCACTCACAAAGGTTTCAGGACCCACTGTTTACGAAAACCTTAGGCTTCTGCACGAAAGGATTTTACTGCAAAGTTACATTGAGCGGTATCTAGCTAAGTCACGCAAACTCGCTAGTTTGCCTGCCCTTTTCGCCTGTCTACTGGCGGACTTGCCTGCGCATTCTTGTAGGTTGGAGTCTCTGTGAAGAGTACAGTCGGAATATACTTTAACTGTGCCTTCATCTGCACCATTCCCATGATTATGAGCTTACGAAATCACGTTCTCATGAATTTTGTCCCAAACCTAAAAATCGCATATTTGGGGGAAATCTGTTGGCTTTCTCATGTGCAAGATGAACCTGGTACTTACAACCAGTGTGTCATGCACTTGTGGCACGTTCCACCAAAATACGCGATTCTTAGGTTTGGGACAAAATTCATGAGAACGTGATTTCGTAAGCTCATAATCATGGGAATGGTGCAGATGAAGGCACAGTTAAAGTATATTCCGACTGTACTCTTCACAGAAACTCCAACCTACAAGAATGCGCAGGCAAGTCCGCCAGTAGACAGGCGAAAAGGGCAGGCAAACTAGCGAGTTTGCGTGACTTAGCTAGATACCGCTCAATGTAACTTTGCAGTAAAATCCTTTCATGCAGAAGCCTAAGGTTTTCGTAAACAGTGGGTCCTGAAACCTTTGTGAGCGAAGTTTCAGCTCGGATCAAGATCATTAATATTTCAGGCAAAACCTGCGGCGAGTTCAAGAGCGAGGAACGGGAAAAAATCATATGTCCCGATTCTCCCAGAAAGTCTGCCTGTAGGGGTTATCCGACCCGCTAGTCATGAAAATCGTATCACATTTGCAAGATAGCTTCTTACTGTAGGGCTACAGTAGGCAGTTTCTAGGTGAACATGGATTTCTTCAAAGTTTGCTAGCGATTTAATCCCTCACAGCAAAAGACTTTCTGCGCTTTTCCCTGCTGCTAAAAACTAGGGAAACTGCTCTATCGGGTGATGCCTATGTGAGCCTCTCATCTGCAGAAAGCACTGAGTTGCGCTTACATAAACACCCGTCCGCAGAACGGAAGTAGATCGATGCGAAACTTAACTCAGATGGGCAATATGGCATGCATGTTACAGTACTAACGCAAAATTTGCTTTCAACGGTGCTGGTGTAGACTTGCGGTAAATTGATAATTCCTGGACCTTGCATATCCCCGAAATCCACTGCTCTCTCTCTCGGCTTTGAAGAAAAACCTTCGACTGGTTTTCTATCGTGGATGTTATGAGGACACAGCTCTACTGAAAAATGTTTAGTAATTTTAAGGTGCAATGTGCGCTGCGATATGTTATGGTGAAAACACGTTCTCACGAAAATATTATGTTCATTATACACAGCTAAATCACGCATGCTAAGTAACAACGTCAATTGTACCGTCATAGTAAATATTAGCTACTATGGAACAAGAAATGACCTCAAGATCACAACTGTCGATCTTGGTAAAATGCATATCCAAAGCGTCTTGATAAGGATACTACCTTCCCTAACTGCTGAACGAGTTTCTGAGAGAAGTTATGAGCGGTTGGAAGTAAAGAGTCATTGAGCTACCTCTGCATACTACTTTAAAGACCAGTTCGAAAGACCATGATGGACATGATGTTGTGCGTATTCACTACAACGAGCAAAAATTCTATTCGAATAACGAGAGGTCCTTGTGCCGCCAGTTGATGTGACTGATTGATTGCGAAGTTTGGAGACGCCCAAGACTTCTACTAGAGAGCCGTTTAGCAGATAAGGAAAGTTGATTAGGAATCAATTCACCAAGGCACAATTGATGACACCATTTCGTTTGTTCAGATGGCCAGTGCGGCATGCGATCTTTCTGTTTAGAACGAGCAACACGTGAAAGCAACAATAAGCAATGTTTCCAGCGCGATTAAAATGAGCTTACATCGCAGATCCCTGCGCACTGTGTCTTGAGCATCAAACGAATGCAATTACCGCAATCAGCGCATGAAATACCCTGTGCTTGACTTAGAACAAATCGACCAAAGTTCAAGGTAACTTTTTACCATACTCTAACAGTATCCGTACGATGTGTCATCAGCAGCAGATCAATAGCGTTGGTGTTTTCAGCACATTGACTAATCTAACCAAACAAAAATGTGCAAAACTGAGCAAAAACTTACTGCCTACCGTATGCCTACAGGAAATCGACAGATTGTGGCACTTCTACATACAGTATGATGCGTCTCGTTGAGCTGAATCGGGTGTCCTCGGGTTCAAAATTCGTCCATTCTGAAACGAGATATGGCGATGCTACGCGGATTCTGACGGACTCTAGTGATGTGCGGCGCACTCCGCCGCACTCTAGTGGACTGCGCCGCACTCCGGCGGACTGCAGCGCACTTTGGCGGAGTGCGCCGCAGTCCGGCGACTTTTTTGACGAATTACGAACGGTATTGTATATTATATGAAATCGAAAACGAGTTTTATTCCAAACAAGAAAACTCAAGCAAAAGAAAATTCTTTTGAGATGGCAATTAGTATTACTCCTGTCAGAGTAAGCCCGTATGCGCTCGCCAAAAATATCAAGTTCCGTCGACCCTGAATGTCGAATAAACGATACGAAATTTGTTTGATTACATTACCGTGATTTCTTTAAAGTAAAGTATGCTCCAGCTCAACACAACCAAGTTTGGCGCCATTGCGCAAATTGGATAAGCAATTGCTTGATCTAGATTATCGATAGCAATCACAAACAAGCTCATTCCGATAGCAAATATGATTCCACCGATCATCGTAGGAACAGCGCCGCTCGGATTGAACCACGGTTTGTTCCTCCTACAAATAGCTCTATATCCTCAGTCTCAACCGCGATGAGAAAAATTACATTATCAGACTGTAAATGATGAAAACGCATACACCGACGCAGATTCCACCGCAATAGAAAGAAAACTGATACGAAATGCTGTCTGCAGGAGCTTTAGGAAATTCTTCCGGATGACTCTGAAAAATGCCTTTGATGAACTTATACATCTGTCCAAATAGCAGGCCATTTTTAGCAACCCTTATGTAGCTGATAGGTGTCCACATTGATCCAAGAAACGAGCCGCACAGCACGGCGGCAAGAAAACTTCTGAAACATAAAGGCCTTCATTAGAGCATCGTAATTCATGCTATTAAATCACGTTAATTGCTTTATCGTGGATGAAATATAGTAGTAAACTATTAGGTTGTCCCTAAAGTTTTGTCGGTTTCTTTCATCGCTCACTAAAACTCACAGAACACCAATCCATGGACGACTTAGTTACCATTTGATTCAGAATTGTATCCTTTTTCCTACAGTTATAATTGCTATCTGATCTACCCTTTGCAATGTTATCGCCATGGCTTTTTGAGCAGCTCAGCAGTAACGCCAGATATTTCCCAAATTTAAGAATTTTTTTATTCTGATTTTTCAAAGATCGCTAATAACTGTTATGTAGAGCAAATCTTTGGCTACATTGCATTCATTTTAGATTACATGAACCGCGTTTACCAAGTCCGTTATAATTATTTATTTAATAAAAACCAAGGCTTTTTGATTAAGTTTGACAAAAGTACCAAAAATTCCAAAGAGCTGCTTTTTCGAAGCGAATCAAAGTTGGTTATGTTGCATAAATGATGTTTATTAAGAATTATGTTTTATTGCGCAGAAACTTCAACAGCTTCCGTGTGTTTTATGCAGTTGCGTCTTTCATGACTTTGTCAAAAATCGAGACCTCCGGGGAATTAATTTTTTGAAGCTAAAATCAGCAGATTAAGAGAATCTAAAAAAACCATCCTGCAGTCCGAGAGTTGCTCTATTCGATGCAATCCTTTTCGAAACTTTGTAATGAAATTTTCAAAAATTAGCCTAACTTTGAGTAGGTAAAATTGACAGGTGGAGAATTTTGGCAATTATCAAAAAAAGCATACAAGATTGTGGTGGGAAAATGTATTCATAAGAAAGAGAAGGAAAAGCTGCATCGAATGCATGTTGAAACTCGCTCAGGTCTTTATTGTACGTGGTTTTACAGTGGTTTGAAGAAACCGGCAAAACTTTCGGGACAGCCTAATATAATGACATAAAATATCAACTTACCCTTTTCAGTTAAATCTTGTACAAAAAGATAATCTTTTACAGCTCTACCTTCGACCTGAAATTTAACTCACAAAGCTCTTTCCACTCTCGAAATGCTGATCTCCAGCTTTCCATTGCCATCATTAGTCGCACTGTTTTCTGCCACCCGAATGTTCCCCTGCTCGTTATTTTTTATGAACAAATACATCACTCCTCTAAAAAGACACAATATAATGAGTTAACTCAAGCACCAAAATTGATTTGCCATTGATGCCAATTTTACGTGAAGCTGAATGAAATCGCCCAGTATATACCTCGCATAGCTTTGATACATTTCATATGGCCATTCCATTCTATTAGGTCGTTTCATAAGTTCGTCGACTTTTTATTTTTGTCGCCGTTTTTGCGATGAAGCGATTGCTTTATGGCAAAGTACCTATACCATTGAAAAGAGAAAATCTTGCTCTACAAGAACTGTTGTTCGCTTTTGGAACAAACTTGATTCCTCTTCTTTCAAAATTTTTTGAGAGGCAAAAAGGGGCGATTTCGGCACCTACAACTTATCCGTATACGGAGCCACAAGTGGGAATTTTTCGTCTGAAGTTTTTATGAGTGCTGAGAAACAACTGCTTGTGGTACTACGGTGCATATAAAAGTAGTTTCCATATCCAAAGAGACGCTATAAAGAAAGATTAAGCGCACGTTTACCATGTGTGTAGATGTTCTGCGTTTGGCACAATTTAAAGAAGTTCCCACGTCAAAAATTTTTTTGAGAAAGCGTAAAATGTTGGCCAGAGCTTGTACTCATACATCTACACCACTAAGAACGAATCCATTCCTCAAGTTCCGATAGGAGGACCGACACATTGTGTCGCTGAACAACGCGCCAAACTCAAACGGCAGCAGTCAAAGACAACAACCATTGGGACCTTGTTCAAACGGTTCTATGCATATTGGCATGCTGCAAATTTGTCAGTGTTTCAGTCTTGCTTGCTACTATCCATCCCGCCTACCTATGACAGAAACACCTCGCGGAATACGGACCAAATGCGGAAAGTGCAATTGCCGAAATCGCCAATTTTTGCCTCTCAAAAAATTTTGCTTTGATAAGTCGTAAAGGAAGGGGATTCAAGTTTGCTCCAAAAGCGAACAACAGTTCTTTAGAAGCAAGATTTTCTCTTTTCAATGGTTTAGGTACTTTGCCGTAAACCAACCGCTTCATCGAAAAACGGCGACAAAAATAAAAAGTCGACGAACTTATGAAACGACCTAATGGCTGAAAATTGCCCTACGTCTGATATTTGATTTCTGACAGTAGTTTAATGATACTTGTAAATAATCTTTTGAGTGTAAAGGGATCCCGGAGCGAAGTTGCAACGCTCCAGAACTTCGTTGACATGCTAATTTGCAGTTTTTGAATTTTTTGAGGACTTGACTTAAATCGCAGCTACAAATCACAAATTATTAGGTTGTTGCAAAAATAATGTCCGTTTTTCTAGGCGTATTTCCAAACGACTTTTCTCCTTCAGGCTTTCTTTTTCGATATAGATTTTGCACACCATTGGAAAGCTTTCTTCATGTATTTTCTAACGGTGGTGAAATCAAGCTTTTATCTCATCTGTAAGATTTTCACCAGCATTTTGAACAGCCGCACTCAAAATCGAAATTTTATTGCTCCAACTTTCTTGGCCACAATTCAGGCGCAAATAAACGAATTCTTCTGAAAACATAGCTACTGTATAGGATAAATATTGTTTTCTTATTGCACGTTTAAATAAGTTCTTCGAATATACCTGAACTGACAAATCGAGCTTCAAAAAAGATACCCGCTGCCTGGAACTCTATGGGTTCGAAATTTTTCCTGATTAGGGCAATCGCTGAAACTTCGCTCATTTCTGTAGGCTTAAGGTAAGGACATCTTATCTACAATTTATGCAGAAAAACTTAGCTATTCAGTGCATGAAGATTTCCAAGTTTTCATAGTTTGACACTTCCAAGCCTATCACAAATAGGCTTAAAAAAGTGAACAATTTCGGATTTCTATCTTTTTTTAATTCGCAGAACTTCTTCGCTAAAGTTCTTTTTATACAAACGTATACTCCTGGGTTGCGTGTACAAAATAAGCTGATTAGCAGCCATAACAACAAAACTTGAAGGAATTTGTAACCTTTCAAAAACGAGGTCAAAAGCAAAACTTTTGAATTTCTGACGCATGGTTTTCTTCCCGTTTGCGATATCAGTATATGCAAGTGCGCCTTAGATTACGAAAAGTTTACTGCATCTGATGGTCTTGATTGCATTCAAAAATATGAAGATTGAACGAAGTTATAGCTTTTCAAAGCGAAATTTTGCAAAACGGACATTATTTTTGCAACAACCTAATATTTTATGCCATACCCGCTCATACATGTCAAATATGGATGCATCGAATTTGTACATGTTTATAAATGCTAGTGAGTATGACAAGAAAGATCAGGTCTATTACTGAGTGCGAGTGGAAGAACACTTTTGTTTTGCTAGTGAATATGGAAGTGTGAACTCCTCTCATCCGCCACAGAGAAGGTGGAACTTCCTACTGCGACGGGTGGAACTTCCTAACTTAATGGAGAGGAAACAGTGATTTGCTATATATTTAGAATGTAGTCGAAGGATTTATGGTTTTTTGGAAGCTGTGAAACAAGTTGAGAAGGAAGTTATTGACGATTCCGGTGACTGTTTGGGACCCGACGTGCTCACGATCACTTACTACTGCGAATATGTTGAGTGTATAAATTAAGACGTTCCATAAGTAAGTTCGTACCGGTTTTATTCTTGTGCTCATTTCTCTTTGAGAGGCGGTTTTGCGGCAAAATGTGAATAACATAGAAAAGAGCCGATTATGCCCTTCCTAGTGAACTTATTGATTCGGATGTAATAATCTACTTCAACTTCCCAGATTCCAGTGCATGAACTCTCAAATGCAAAAAGAAGCATTTTTGATGCCTGCTCATTTTTTTCGCTGAAATTGTTTGCATAAATTCTTTGTCGATTATTGGAAATGGCGTTCGCACTTCCATATGAGTCGCAAAAGAACTGACTGGTTAAAAAAACAGGGCTGAACGATTTCCCTCGCACGAAATTTTCGTGAGACGAGCAGGAGGCCCTGCACTGATTGGTAGACAAGAACTACACCGTAGACAGTCCAACTGCATCGTTCAATATTCTCTATTGCAAAAAAAAGACCCAAAAGACAGGTCTGGCGAATTTTTCTGCATTACAATATATGGCTTAGTAAGAAAAACGTCTTCAAAATTGTCCTGCAGTACTTGATTGGCCGGTGCATTAGAAGTCGCAGTATCCTTCAAACCTTGTCCCACCAGATTAACCGCTCTGTTGCAAACCATATGTATAATTCGTGTTCCAATTGTGAAGGCGATCTCAGCGGTCAAACGAATTTTTGGGACCAAACTTGCCATATTTGAAAGCTGAATATTTGAAGGCAGGTGGTTGCATCAAGGGAACATACACTATCTAGCTTGTTCAAGCTTAGTTTTGTCATGTAGTTGATTTTTAAAAACGGTACAAACTTATGGAACGACCTAATACTTCACAATTTCAAGTGAGTTGGAAATGCTTTTAGCTAATAGATCGGGCCGTATACGGTCATTGTAATTCAAGACCTTAAGTTTTTCCTTCTGGTTAGCCTTTACAGCTAATTTGTAATTTGTCAGGGTAAACCCACTAAAATTTTAAGATTTGCAAAAAGTTGCACAATTCAGTTGACATCGTATTACTTGCAGGTTGACCAACTTTGTTGTTTATAATGATTACCAGTGCGTCACCTCTGCTTCGCAGAGGCTCGCACTGGCCCTATTTTCTGTATGCCTTACTCATTCCCGCATAATAATGACATTGAAACTCACCGCGCTATGTAGGCTATCACGAATAATTCGTAAACAACTACTCATTCGTAGAGGTTTTCCATGTGAGATCGGTATTTCAGCGTGGATAAAATCTATCCCAGAAGAACAGATGGCAATTCGAATAGGTTTTTGGAACTTTTATGGCTTGGTAGTCGCCGTAAGGACAATAAACATAGTAGGCTACATCGCTGTGCAAAAATCTTCTCAAATGATCAGGTAGAATCTTAAAAAATTGACTGTTTACACAGCGAATGGTTTTTGGCGCTGTTTTCGTAAAATAGTAGACTTTTCATTACTTTTTTAGGCTAACGTCCATGGCTTGCACATTAGCTTGTCAAATATGTCCTTAACTCTGCAAAAAGTAGTACTACGGACCCAAATTTGCTGGCCAAAAGGCGAGTGGATCCGTGTGACGCGCAAGTTTCAATGGATCCACTCAACGGATCCGCACATGCTTTTGTATAGTAAGCCTTCATGCTGGTAGCGTGCGCTGTGCAAAATTTGGGCTCAGGACGTTGGCTGGAACACGCTCTACGAATTTCGTGACAGACAGAGATTCACACACACACACAGACAAACGTAAACAACCCTTAGCCCGTTATTATAAGTTACCAGTGCGTCACCTCTGCTTCGCAGAGGCTCGCACTGGCTCTACTGTCTAGGTCCTACTCATTCTCGCATTATGATGGCATTGGAACTCACCGAGCAATGCCGACTGTCACGGACAAAATGTAAACGACTATTCATTCCGAAAGCTTTTTTATGTGAAATCGGTGATTTCGCGCGAATGAGACTTTTTGCAGGAAAACAAACGGAAATTTTTATAGGTTTTTATTTCCATGGTCTCGACACCTGCAATAAGAACAGCAGTCACTGTGAGCTACATCTTTGTGCAAAAATCTCGTCAAATGCTCTGGTAGAACCTTGGCAAATTGACCATATACGCAATCAATACTTTTTAGCGCCGTTTTTGTAAAGTAATGGACTTTTAATCACTTTTTTGGGCTCAAGTTCATGACTTGCATATTTGCTTGACACAAACATCCGCGACTCTGTAAAATGTGCAACTACGGACCCAAATTTGCGGCCCAAACGCAAAGTGGACCCGTTTGACGCGCAGTTTCGGAGGGATCCACTCAACGAATCCGCTCATGCTTTTGCATGTTGGACTTTCATGCGGGTAGCATGCGTTGTGCAAAATTTGAGCCCAGGAGGTTGGCTGGAACTCGCACTACGAATTTCGTGACAGACAGAGATTCACACACACACACACACAGACAAACGTAAACAACCCTTAGCCCGTTATTATAAGTTATGATATGCTCATGCTCAATAGGGTCTTCAACAGAACCAATCACTGACCACCAAAATCGTGGAAATTTTCCTTCAATTTTCTTCATTAGAAGCTATGTGGACCCGCTTCACGTGCGAATTTCAAAGGAACGGTGCATTGGTTCCGCTCGTCCATGCACATAGTGAACCTAAATGCTAAGAGCGTATGCTGTGCAAAAAATCGGCTTGAAACCTTGGTTGTAGCTCGCTCTGTGAATTGTGCGTGCGTGCGTGCGTCAGAGCCAGTGCGTAGAGCCAGTAGAGCCAGTGCGTCGCCTCTGCTTCGCACTGGCTCTACTATTCACATGCCTTCCTCGTTGTCCCAAAATGATGGCTTTGAAACTTACCTCGCGATGCCGATCATCACGAATGAAGTGTAAACAACTACTCATTCCTAAAGCTTTTTCATGTAAGATTGGTGTCTTTGAGGGAAAGAAGGTACTCTCCAAAAGATTAAATGCGATTCTGAATCAGTTACTGGGGTTATAATGGCTTGATAGTCGCCATAAAGATGACGACAACCCTGAGTGACATCACTGAGCAAAAATTTTCTCACCTTCCCAAGTAAAACTTTGACAAATCGATCATCTACGCAATTACTCTTTTTTGGCGCCGATCTTGCATGGAAGTGAACTTTTTGCTCACTTTTCGGGCTGGAGTCCATGGTTTGCGGATTTGCTTGCTAAACGAAACCATGACTTTGGAAAAAGTCCAATTACAGGCCCACTTTGGCGCGCGAAATGTCGCGTGGATCCGTTTGGCGCACAATTTCACAGGTTCCAATTATTGGATCGGCTTGTGCTTTTGCACATTTTACCTACATGCTGATAGGGTGCTACTACCAAAATTCTAGCGCAAGACCTTTGCTGGAACTCGCTCTACGAATTTCGTGACAGACAGAGATTCAGACACACACACAGACAGACAAACGTAAACAACCCTTAGCCCGTTATTATAAGTTATAAGTTATGATAAGACGACAATGTTACCCTATTACGAGCAGGATTATCCCTAAGTAATTCATTGCTATACTTGCAGGAACGGCAGCAGGCAAGCCAAGAAGTCCATATCTGGAGCAAAAGTGTTGATAACTAATTTAAAATTATATGAGACTGCCTTGATGTCGCCCATCCTGTTAAGCATGAAACCGTACTGCATACAAGAGCAGTGAGCGCCATGCCCAAACGATTCATGATTTGGAGTGTAAATGCATTACCTGGAACATTGATACAAATATGGACTTCAAATAAGTTTATTAGTGCTATACCTATGCCCCACAGTGCACCACCAATCATTGCGAAACCTTGTAACGGAGGAAAACCAAGCAAACCATGAATGAAAGTGCTGGCTAGAAAGGCACCAATACACATAAACATTTGAGCAGAAAAACCTGGAATGACAACTGCTAACGATCTCACAAGCGAGGGTCACGAAGTCGAAGTGGTCGATCACTACAAACTGCAGCAGCCAGTGAGAGCCTGCAGCGCTGATTCCAATTTTGCTTCTGTTTGCAAAGCGCTTTTGGGAAAGAAGTTATGAGCATATTAAGGCGAAACATGAACCAATTTACAGGACGAAATCGATCGTTGCGCCCTTCTAGACATCGCCTGGAGCAATGGAGGGTGTCCCAAAAGTAAGTATGCACTGTTTGAGGGTTAAGATCTCTTTTCCCAGAAAGTCTTTGGCCAATCTTCAAGTTCCATTTTGCAGAGCTGGTTTCAACTTAGATTTGCAGTATGGAGCAAATCTCCGATACCTCTTAATTACTGTAGAAATACGGAAGGAACTTTAGCTTGCGGCGTCATTGCAATCGTGTTTTGAAAAGAGTTTCCAAAAAATCTGAAATGTGGTGTGCCAGGTTTTCGCGGGCGCTGATTTCATAATTCAACCTTTTACAAGTTTGCAAAGCTTTTCAAACGGTGTAATCACGATTTTAGGGAGCATAAAAAAATAGCCGTTGCGGTTTACCTGGCATAACTTATCAAGGAAGCACTGCGGTAAAGTTCTTTATAGTTGGTTTTAGCAGCTTGAAATAGCTTAGTATAAAAGTTTCCGGGTTGTTTGGTTTGCTTTTTGAGGCAAATTAGGGCCCTCAATGGCTCAAAACCCTTCTTAAAATTTCTAACGTTACCCTACAGTAATTAAGGCCAATCTCTGAGCTCCATACTGTAAATCTAGGTTGTAGCCAGCTCTAAAAAACGGTGCCTGGAGGTAGGCAAAAGACTCTTTGAGAGAAGAGATATTGACGATCAAACAACTATACATACTTTTGGGACACCCTGTAGAAAGTGCTGATATACTAGGCAGAGTAAGTTCATTGTATAAAATATCCTGACACTTGCCGCTGTTTCATTTGAAGTCTATAAAGTCTAGAGAAGCTCTAGCGATTGATTTTATCTCAAAAAACTGTTCATTTTTTCGCATGAAAAATGCTCATAACTCCTTCCCCAGAAGCGCTCTGCAAATAGGAAAAACAGAATTGAAATCAGCGCTTCAAACCTCACTAATGGTATGCATTTTATGATCAGCCACTTCGACTGCGTGACTCTTAATTGTCAGGTCATGTGTACGGTATCTAGTTGAAAGTTTTTCTTTGGATAAAAATCTTGGAATAAAAATCTGGTTTTAGTTGCCAGGTCGCGAAGGTTATGTGGGTGCGGACATTGCTCATGGAAGTGACACACACGTAAACTCTCGAAGATACGAGAGCTTCATGTACAAAAATGACTTCAAGTCATTTTGAAGTAAATAACACATAAAGGCGAAAACCGTCAAGAAAAACACTGAGAAATTCTGTTTGAGTATAGCGTGGAGAGGCCGCCAACCCACTCCCTTCGCGATCAATCCCTATACACTCTGCTGCATTCCAGTAATATAGTGAATTTAATGGCAGAGGGATAAATGATTTGGCGTCTTCAGTGCACTCAGTGCATGCGTCCAACGCATTCTTTTCGCAGTAGGAGAGGCTACTTGCGCACGTTTTTTACGGTAACTGGCGGAGCCAGCCAATCACCAAATAATTGCTTTTAACCTCCCAGATTACTCTGTATCAATTTACCGTAGGAGCGTAGAGAACTTGCTTAGCCCAAAAGCAGCATCGAACTTTGCTCCGATGTGGTCATAGCTGCCCCTTATATCACCACTCGACTCCTCATCACAGTGAGTAAGGTGATGATAACCGCTTCTTTGCAAACTATTACAATGATACTTCGGTTCCACCAGGATCCTCCTTGTCAATCAGGTGACTCTTCACAAGATGTACCCTACACGAACCAACCGGGGACAGTTTCCGCCAAGCTTAAGGTGCAGAGTTATTGACCACAGGTGGGTGTACCACTAGAGTGCAATCCCAAACTTCCAAGCGACTTTTGTCTCTTCTTTAAGATTATGGTCTCGTACTTGCGCGATACGTGGCAAGGGCGTCCAAATTCAGAACCAAAGTAGCGGGTTTTTCAAGATTTCTCGGAGGCCTCAAACAGCTTGGCATCCCGATGCGACCAATGTTGATTGCGAAAGGGAAACAATTTCGATCTTTATAAAAAGTTCTTCGTGAACTGAACTCTGAACATGAACTCTTTCGGCTGCTGCTGCTTCTTTTGTCTCATTTCTTTTTCTTGCATTTTCAACTTGGCCGTTGTTCACACTATTCTGCTCGAGCCAATCCTCCTTTACCTTCTTTTCCTACATACAAAGCACAGCTATTTTAACTCTCAAGGAGGATGTGCGAGTGAGTACCCAACTACTATAAACAGTGACCGCCAAAAAGTTGCGTACAAGTCGCCCTCCTGTTTTCAGCGTTCATTTTCAGATGGAAAACAAAGATGAAAAAATTTTGGATTGCATGTGTGATAGAGCTCATCAAGAGCTACAACCTACACATTGCACTTTCCGGAAAACATGTATTGTGAAAGTTTTAAAAATCTTTCTCTAAAATAAGTCCGAAAATGGCCGCGTCACAATGTCGCGGACAATAATTCTTCGAACGCGAAAAATTTCTTTCAGATCTTTTCTTGGGGCAAGAACAGAAGTTTTCCGGAGAGGTAAGCATACTATATTGTAGAGCTTATTGAGGACAATAATTGAGTAGTGGTTACTACCAAAAAACCCAAGCTTGAATTTTATTTTGCTTTTTCTCAAAAATTAACTTCTAAATCTCTTTTTTAAGCCACATTTCTTCAACGGTAATCTATTCAAGACATTCCAACAAAGTTGTGCAAATAAGACGGGTGTTCTTTGCCGTCCTCTACGCATCGGACGTGTGGTGGTGAGTTTCTTGGCTGCTGGTTTCTGGCTTTTGACAGTGCGTGCTCATGACCCCACCTGCACCACACCACTGAACTGCACCGCTTCACAGGCTTATAGCTCAGCCGCCAATCAATCTACGAGCCTGCGCATTAGCTCATTCGAAGGAGCGTGATTTTCTGGACACGATATTATGCAAAAGAGCTGAGTTTGGAAAGTCTTGGAAATTCCGCGGATGGGGTGACAAAGCGCAGCTTCAGTGGTAGACTAAGAATTTATCAGGTAAATTTGAGCAAAGCTCCTTTCGCCATCAGTTCCATCCTGGAAGTTCGAAACTGTCAATTTTCTTGTAATAGATTCATATCGGAGCTCTAATACTATTCTAGTGTTGATACGAGCCTTCACTCCAAAAACCTTTATGGCTGCGCTTTGTCACCCCATCCGCAGAATTTCCGGGATATCCCAAACTCAGAACTTTTGCATACTATCGTATCCAGAATATCACGCTCTTTCGAATGAGTCTATGCGCAGGCTCGTAGATTGATTGGCGGCTGAGCTATAAGCCTGTGAAGCGGTGCAAGTCAGTGGTGTGGTGCAGGTGGGGTCATGTGCATGCATCGTTAGGAGACATTTTCAGCCGAAAAACTCACCAGCACAGGTCCGATGCATAGAGCATGGCAAAGAGCATCCATCTCATTCAATTAGCTTTGTTAGGATGTTTTGAGTAGGTTTCCATGTGAAGAAATTTGGCTTGAAAAAGGGATTTAGAAGTTATTTTTTGAAAAAAAAAAGCAAAACAAAATTCAAGCTTCAGGTTTTTTGGAAGTAACCATTACTCAATATTATCCGTGTTCGACTACCCATTAATCTTGGCATGATAGTTGTATTTCACTGATCTTCTTTTTCCAGCTGTTAACCCAAGATTGGTAAGACTTTTTATTAAGACCAATGTTTCGGCGATTTCGCCTTCTTCGGGGTCTGAAAAAGTCGACTGCTTAGAGAACATTCCGTCAGCTACCGCATCACGACCGAGAAACAAGCATGACCTGTCAGTGAACCAAAAGAAATCAAATAACAAGTGCAGGCCAATGCTATCTAACCGTCAACAATGATCGAGTGCTTATTATGCCAAAAACTGACTAACGCTTTCATTTACAGATCTAGTGATCCGGTCTCGGCCTGCTGTTATCGAAGAAGTCACATAGCGCCTGATACGGGGCCAGATCTTGAGTGATGGCTAAGCACTCATCTTTTCTGTTCATTTTAGGACTTTCAGGCGCGATCCAAAACGCCCCACGGGGGTGATCAGCATGCTCGATTACCCCCCTGTGCCCAACTCCCAGCCCCGTAGCTCAAATTTTGCAAAAAATCGATAAAATCGATATCGATCGATGACGAAAAGTAGCCTATGACACCCACCGGGGCCCGAAGTGTACGTGTGCTAAGTTTGGTCCCGATCGGTTCAGAAATGGAATTTTCTATTCGGAACATACGTACACACATACAGGCAGACAGACATACAGACAGACAAACAGACATTCAGCTTTATATATAAGACTAGCGTAAGATTCTCTGCATGACTGACAGGAAATATGGTACACTACACCAGAAACCATACAGTCACCTTCCTTTCCGAATGGGCAAATAACGCAATTGGGAGTCGTATAGTCTGTCATAGGCTCGATTGCGAACAAGTTGATGTTTGAGATTGACAGGTGGTATGTCAACGACTCGTACCCAGTCCTGTAATTCGGCTCGGTCTATCAACTTTCTGACTGTTACACTTAGTTCTTCTGACACAAATGGTAAGCAGAATGGAATATTTTCGGTTGCTGCAGTTCTGCTATTGTCATTGCGCTTGCGTATTCCCTGGTTGCGCTTTTTGGTAGGGTACCCATTTGATCTTGCTACCGTTTCTGCCAATGCTAGCGAATAGACTTTTTCTGTGGTTCCGGACGAGACGTTTGCAGCTGTTTTATACATGTTGCCAATCACCGACTTTTTGATGTGGGCCGGATGCGCTGAAACGTAGTGCACTAGTATATTCCTGCTACTTGGTTTACGATACCATCTTGTTTTGAATTCGCCCCATCAATCGATCAACATTTAAAAATGCTAGCCAATCTTTCTTGGGTTTGTCTCGAGTCAACTTGATATGCGGAAATTGCTGATTCAAAATCTCGTAACAAAGGTCGAGTTCAGCCTGAGTTGGACATATAACCATTACTCAATTATTGTACTCAATGAGTTCTACAATATAGTATGCTTACCTCTCCGGAAAACTTCTGTTCTTGCCCCAAGAAAAGATCTGAAAGAAATTTTTCGCGTTCGAAGAATTATTGTCCGCGACATTGTGACGCGGCCATTTTCGGACTTATTTTAGAGAAAGATTGCTAAAATTTTCACAATACATGTTTTCCGGAAAGTGCAATGGTGGGTTGTAGCGCTTGATGAGCTCTATCACTACATGCAATCCAACATTTTTTCATCTTTGTTTTCCATCCGAAAATGAGCACTGAAAACAGAAGGGCGACTTGTCCTCATGAGTACTGAGGACAGAAGGGCGACTTGTCCTCATGAGGACTGAAGACAGAAGGGCGACTTGTCCTCAACTTTTTGGCGGTCACTGTATTTGCTGTAACTTTCTCCTTTCGATCCCTGTTAGTTTCCCCACAATCATGTTTTTCTTTAAAATGTCTTCACAAACAATAAACGTCTTAACATATTTTGTTCTTCCAGAAAACAAAAGAAAAAACACCGCGCAAATACCGTTATCACAAAACCGAAACTACTATGAAGTCTACCAAAGACCAGCAACCTAGTGACAGTCGCCACATCCTGCAAGAGCAAAACGGCCACCATCGCGTAGGCAAAAATGCAGCTTCCTGGTCACAAACACAATTGCGATTAGCTACATGCCCGAGCTGGACCAAGTTTGATTTAAAGCCGATATGGCGAAAGTACATGATTAGCTTATTAGGAAATTTCACCTACACATTCTGCAACTGTGTGGATGCATTTGTGTAAAGTTTAGTTTGTCTTTAATGCATAGGATGGCTTTTTAAAATAGAAGTAAAGTTGTGAACGCATCTTACCATCTCCAGCATCAACTTTTCTGACAGGAACGAAAACGGTACCAAAAAGAAAGGACGTCCCTAGAGCAGCTAAGAGACCGATCCATAAATCATTTGACATACCCTAAAACTCAATCAAGTGACCAGAAATATTATGAACGGATAGTGAAACAGTCTTCTACACAAAAGCAAATGAACATAGGACATTCTCAAACAGTGTCAAAGAACATCAGAATAGAAACGCCACTCAAATCTTACTCTCGTTCTCAATCACTAAGAAACTTCTTACAAGTCAAACCTTCATCAGCATCACCTAGATAGTGGTCAATATAACCCATTCGAAAAAGGTGTATTCGCCTATCAAATCACTTTCTCTTTGTTAGAAACGCGGTATGGAATGTGTAATCGCCGACCGATGCAGCTCATTTGTGCTTGTTTGTGCAGCAAGTAAGAGAGTTATCGGAATTCAGCTTGTGCTGGTCAACGCCACAGTCATCGTATGTTGTGCTCCAATTTAATTAGCACTAGCTAGAAACAAAAATGTTCCTTATGAAGTAGCAAGAAATGCTACTTTATAAGAAAACAACACTGATCCAAAACACTGCCGACTGTTGCCTATTTCTCGGTCCGACTTTCGGTGAGATTTCGCTATAGACAAGATGGACGAAGGGTGCGAATTCTGTCGAGCCCATGCGCTAAGGTTTTGCTGGAGTCTACAGAGTAAAGGAAGCGCTTTCAATAGAAGAGTGAATCCGACACGCTAAACTGTTCAGAGGCTGAACACAGCGGGTGTCGAAGAAGTAGCAAACCAGCCAAATATGAAGCGAAAATCGGGAGTCGCTTTCTGCTGCCTTGACGAAGCGCTAACTGCAAAATTTAAAGAAGCAAATCATATACGACTTTTTACTCGCTTGCCTCTGTCAAGTTCTCTGCCTAGACATTACATTAAACCGCCATTCCTCCCTTCTAAAATTCTAGTGCTACCATGTCAAAGAAGAATCGTGTATGATACCCAAAACATCAAACTCTTTCCCCATTCTTTATTAAGGCTAAAGCTTTGACGCGGCTCACGTGAACTGTTCTGGAGATTTGCAAAAGGACCAAAGAAATGGCGAAGAAGGCCTTCGCTCCGTTGGTGAACTTGTCTAGCTTCAGCACTCAGGGTAATCCTATTCATACAACGAAATTTATGAGCTATACATAAAGTCCAAAGGCATCACACCATTCCATGAGACAACATCAATGATGTGAAGAGAATGTACGGCAAGGCGATACCAAAGCTATCCAGCTCTGCCTTGGCATCATAATATTTCATAATGGTATGAGGATAGTGATAGAAGGTTGACTATCACATCCGTCTGGTGACATCGTTCTGATACGAAGCAACATGCAAGCTGAAAAGGAGCTCTAGAAGATTGGTGTGCAATTGGCTTTGACGAGGCAGATATTTGTGAGGAACATATGATTGCCGATTGCACCTTTTGATGTCACATATCCGGGCTGAAAAGTTTTCATGAAAAAATGGCCCTGGAGTTGAGCAAGCAAAACTGAAATGATAGAGATGCTATAAAATAATCAGAAGTTTAGCAAAGAAATGAGAATATATGACCACCTTTTTCTTCGTTTCCTACTTCTTAAACTCTTCAGATATGTTGGCCATTTAAAAATTGGATGAACAAGGAGTTAGCATCAACAAACGTTCTAGTAGAGTGATGCTGAGGGTGACCCGATTCATATAGGTGAATGCGAGATTAAACAATTCCTCTTTACGCACGAATAAAGCTTTTGGGGATGCTCAGGTGTAGAGCAAACAGAGGATAAGGCAGATACACGGTCGTGCTTTGATAGGTACCGATGGGGAAGCGGGAAGAACGCAGTATCGCACATCTAAATGCTCCTACATAAATAATAGAATGAAAGAGACTTTCAAAAACGATAGTTGAAGAATCAGACTGTTTTGCAAGCTCCCAGTTCTTGAAAGAAAACAAATCAGCAGAAAACAGTGTTTAATTGTTTTACACAAATTCCAAATGCATCAAAAATAATGTCTGAACCGGTCTTACAGAGAAGGTTTAGCGAAGAGACTAATTTTTAGAGGCAGAACGTGAAGATCTGCATCAAAGTATAAAAACAAGAAACAATCTATCATGGTCCATGTCCTGTCAAACAGAACCCGTTATTTGCCATTGCTGATGTCGCATCAGAAACTACGTAAGTTCAAAGCTGTTCGCATTTTGCATCCAAAATCATCGGTTTTGCATAATCATATGATGAACCGAAAGGTTCACATTGGTCTTCCAGCGGAAACTCGATAATGTAATGCAAGGTATATTGCGGATCAATCGAAAGGTTAAGTGTTGCTCAGTGAAGGAACATCCAACAAAAACTGAGAATACAGGCTCTGATACCTAAATGTAGCTCATTTGAGAGGAAAAGAGAAGGAGAAATGAATATTAGGAATAGATTATTAATTTGATTTTGTGAATCAGTCACTTCCACTTTATGTTCATGAAGAAAAATATATACCACCGACACTTTTTCTCTCGTGATCTCGTTTTGCCACCGTCAACCGAAGGAAGATGCATGAGTCACATTTCTCAGCTGTGCTGTTCTACATTTTTAGATGGGTACATGCTCACGCCAACTGATACTAAGAATGCATTCTTAAGGTAGACTATCTAATTTTTACCCTGACTCGTTTCTGACTGAACTTTCTTGGATAAGGCTGCATTCGCTCACTGTTTGGATAAAGACCAAAAGATGTCTTAGCACGGCAAATTGTGAGAAGTAAGAGTCATGCTACGGCGCAGGAGCGTGGTTTTTGTTAAGCTGTATTCCTGTCCCATAACCTCTTCAGTATAGGCAAAACCCTGTAAATTGCCCCTAAGTTTGTGACGGCAAATTAAGAATACTGCATTGCCGTAGGTTGTATAACTTTTCTACGAATTTTTAAAACGACCGATATCATTTTTTAGCTAATATACAGATATAAAAAAGAAAATTCTTGAAATTCTGTTTAGCTTGCTATGATTTGAGCAATGAAAGATGAAGATAAGAAATATCAGAGTTTGGTTCTCAATTGGTCGTAGACAGCAAGCATTTTGAGTCGCTCAACACATGGAACTGTGACTATTTGACAAGTCAGATTAACATCTTCAAACATGCCACTTATCGTAAAATCGTACACTGCACGAAGAAAGTAGACGCGTGTTCTTGAAACTAACAGTGTTAGTCTGCTTAAGCTTTCGATTTATGCATGGTCATGTTGAATAGCATGAAATTTTTTAAACAAAGTACAGCTACCCTGCTATGATCACGCGCTTACTCGTTTCTGTCCGTTTGTCACGAAGCTCGGTAAAGAAATTGAAAAAAAACTTACGATTAGTGAAGAAAACGAAGATATTTGCTGGCCTTTTTTTAGAAAATTCAATTTTTTTCTTCATATTCGGGATTTATTAGGTTGAATACTAAGTTTTGCAACTGGTTTCGTAACTTCCCTCTTACTCAACATGGCGCACTCAAATTTTGCCACTGTGTTGGTTACTACGTAAGCTACAAGCGCAGCTGCTGTCCTACCAAATTCTGACGTCGCAGTGAGGGTTACGATAGGTGTATTGTATGAAAGGGAAAAATTCGAAGTTTGACGAATTTGGCTGAAACTTGGCATAGAGGTGTTATCCGACATGCTGATTACGAAAACGATAGTGAAATTGCGTGATTAGGGCTTTTTGTGGGATTACTGTAGGTGTACGTTATGGGGTCTCACCCTATACAAGGAAAAAGGCGTTGATTCAACAAATAAATATGATATTCGCGTTCGGCAGGTCAAATAACCTTACTATGTGAAGTCTCGGCGGAATTTGAGCTTCGGACTCTTTAGTCATTGACCGTCGTCCCTAGCAGCTCTTGCGTACATCGACTCGTTCGACTCTGTGGGGACGCCAAATCTCGACATGCCCCTTATGTTTCTTTCTTACTAGGCCAAAGGAGTCAACCTCCAGCAATAACTTATAGACGAATCCGGATTACTGCGCACAGTCTAGGCTGCTAAAGGCTTCATTTTAGCTTGAAACCCCGAAAATTCTCAAATTCAATAGTTTTCGAAAAATGCCTGAAACTTTTCTATTTCGCGTTCAAAATTTAGACAATTTGTGCTCGCTTGTAGCTCACATTGTATTCTAAATAATATTAAAGTTTGAGTGTGCCACGTTGAGTAAGAGTGAAGTTATGAAACCAGTTGCAAAACTTAGTGTTTAACTTAATATTTGAGGCTAGCCATGAAGAATGATCAAGAAATGCGATACCAGCACGTAAGTTCGATCTTTCACAAGGACCAGTGCGAGCCTTTGCGAAGAAAGATAGACCTGTTGACATGTAGAGACGTTGCCTAAAACTGCCAAAGTGTTCTTTCTTTCGTTTACAAGAAACATATGATATCTTTCTTGAAGAAATTCGGTTTCCCTTAAGAACGTATGAAGAACCTCTGTCACTCAAAACATTTATGCTACAAGAACAACACTATTATTCTTCAAGTAAAATAAGTGGTTTGATTTACTTACTCATTATTGTAATCCAAAGTATGATTAAGACTGAAAGAGTCTACAAGCATTCTTCTACTGTAATTGAAACAACATCATTCAACACCCGCAGACAAGGAGATTTTTGCGGCGTTATCAAATCTGTCATATCTACTAATCTGAAAAAAAAAACGCAAAAAAGCGCTACAACGTGCTGAAGTCTCTTTTCTGCGGGTATGTCACGTCCGCGTCTGTCGCGAGATTCATGGGGCGAGTATCAGCCAACCCTGGTCAGCTATTTGCACAAAATGCGCTGTTAGCATGTGAGTCCACATGCATGAAGACGAGTCGATCTGTGCGTGGAAGGAACCACGCGGCTTTTGTCCCGCACCAGGGGCGGTATTTATCAATCTCCTGTACATCGGGCTCATGCCCGTTCGAAGCTGCTGAGGAGAGGAGCACGCCAGCAGAGCGAATGGGCGCATATCCTAAACGCCTGCTGGCGTAAACTTTGCGTAATGCAAAGAAAATACATGCCATTTGCACGCGAAGATTGTGGACGTATCGGTGGCGACTCGGTCGGCTCATGGCACCTAGATGTAACCCGAGGCCTGATGCTCGCCCGATACTGAACGACGTACCTAGCCTACTGCGCACTAACGCGCGACCGAACTGAACGCAAGGCTAATCAAGTAGTTTATCCTTATGACACTAAACTACAGTTAAAATAGATAAAAAAGAATACTACACTAAAACAAAGCAAGTACTACTACTATAAAACACGGGACGAGGGCCCGTCCCATGCTACCGATGCGCGTCTACAGATAATCTCAAAATACATGAGGCTCTCGAGGTTTCGCGCAACAAATCCACCGCGCAACGCCAAGGTGTAGACGACGGCACGTCCCCTCCTGCTCCTGTAGATGATTTCCGGTTAGTACTAAGCGCGTCGACTGCGCTGACAAAAAGGAATCCATTTTCCAATCCAAAGAACTTCCGGCTCAACTGCTCTTACAAAAAGGACAGGAGCATAGCGGCTGAAATGATAATCGAACAAGAAATGAAAATCAATCGATTAAAACAAAGACGAACAAGGCACCCAAGTGAGGCGCCGCCGCTTTATAGAGCCGCCTGGCTAGCAACGAGCCAATTAAGGAGAGGTCCGGAGACGATCGCGGCAACACGCGTCTCGGCTACCGTAATCGTCGCCGGATAGCGCGGTAACCGATGCCCCCGGCCTCCGTACTTCGAGGAGCGCCTTGCATCGCGAGACGCGACAGTATCGGTGTCTCCCTGATCAAGCGCTCTCGTTGTCTTACCATCTGCGGTTTCTCCCAAGCACGATCTATATTGGTTGGGCGCAACGGCACCCTGTCTTTGCGTGTTATGCGCCGATACATACAGTTTTTTTCTTTTATTTCGCTTCTCGAGCACAGTTTTCGCATTCATATGCACATTTAGTGATCACGTCAACGATTATAAATTGGGATAGAGGGATTGAGGTCATTTTTTAGGAAGTGCTAAGCTATTTCGTTCTAAATATCATTAATTGTTGAATACTTTATCATAGGATAATTCACAGCATTGAGATAAGTTAAAAATGCAGAAATATGTCAAATAGTCATATCAGCCTAATGAGAACAATACATATTAAATGGTATAAAATGGAGCTGGATCGAACTACACTAATTATCATTAAGAAGAATTGAGCACACTAATTATCATAATATCATTACCAAATTGCTTCGCGCTCGAACGCTTTACAAAGGCTTCAAGAAATTTTTGCTTAGAGATGTATCTTACAGTAGCCATTGTCCAAAGGCAATATCAAGTCATAATAACTGGTTTGAATTTGCATTTGTTCTTTAGCAGGAGTGATTCTTTCACCCAGGATCACATGTTTAACATGAAAACTTTGAGAATGAATAAGTTTACATTACATTCAAGGTAGCCAGCAATGCGCGGTGGGTTTAAAGTCATGATAATGCGAACAGGACAAAGACATAGGTAACGAAATAGTTCCAGGGCTGCAAAACAAAAATGGCGTATTGGTCATCTCATAATATCAAATCATTCAAGGTAGTGAAAAGCAAAAGTTCATTCTAACAATAGCATTATGAATGTAAGAAAGTTAGTTGGCCAATGATGAGCTTTACTTCAAGTTATATCGTAGTGTCTTCATTTATCTTGTTGACAGAATAAACTCTTACTGCGCTTGCAAAGTGAGATTCATTTTACTCGCAACAATACTTGATGGTGGGCTTCTTTGTCGTCATAGTATCCACATATCGATCCATGTGGACTAGAATCTGCTTGAACAGCATCTTTTGTTGCAAAGAAGTCTTCCCAACGAGTTTTTTTAGATGTGTACGAAATTTCTCAACTCAGGACTCGCAACGGTGCAGGTAGTAGAACAGCTCAGCCAAAGAACAACTTATTCTAGTGTTCCAGAGAAGCTGCAGCAACGGCCCCACAAGCACAGCGCATTCCTCTTCCACAGCCAAACCTAGGTAATGACTTATCTGATTGATTTTGAACACAACTCTGATGAAGGCCAATGTGGAAGCTTGACGATTTTGAACTAGCTTACAACGTAGGAAAGGGAAGGTTTGGTTCGGTCTTTGCTGTTCGTTCAAAGATGGACAAGTGTATTGTTGCTATCAAGGTAAGCGATGTTACCGACGTAATGTGGAACTTTCCAAAATTTGAGATTATCTAGATTCTTTTCAAACGAACTATAGAGGAAAACGAAATGAGAGATCAAGTAAAGAATGAGATTGAAATACAGTACCATCTTCGGTGAGCATATGAATCTCGCACCAGCGTCTACATGCGAATCTCGACCACTTCAGGCACCCGAACATACTTCTTCTGAAAGGATATTTTCATGATGAAGAGCGTGTTTTCATCATCACAGAATACGCTAAAAGTGGCAGTTTGAACGCACGCATCAGGAAGAAGGGGAAAATACATGCATTCGAGGCAGCCAGGTTGTTGCTCGCATTTAGCACAGCTTATTTGGATAGCGAAATTGTTCAGATACCTATACCAAGTAGCAGATGCACTGAATTATTGTCATTCAAAGGGGGTTATACATAGAGATGTAAAACCTGAAAATATCTTCCTTGACGGATGCGGAAATGTGAAGGTAAAGACGGTAGAAAAATTACACAATTGTATCTAGAAAAGCGTCTTCTCACTTTTTCATGAACTATGAAAATGAGGAAAAACACAAACAAGTAATTTTAGGACGCAGTGTTGAAACGGCATCACTTTCGTTGCCATCGAATCTGGTAGAGACAGCTGTTGAATGAAAGCTCATTAATTGGATGGAAAAGGGAGATAAATATGTAGGAGGCAAATTAGTGACTGACTTTTGTGCCAGCTCACTCATGCACAACACACCTAATTTTTTGAGGCGGGAGAAATTTATAGGGATGAAAGTTCAACGTAGCTCATTTGTGGTGCCAGACGAACAAAAAATAGAGACCCGCATTTATGTGCTAGTTACTAGGGCTTCTCTTGCACAATTATCGCTCGAGTTTTTTTATTCATAGAGTATCAGCAAAAGATCTACAACTGCTTAGATATCGGTCTTGAATTTCTAGAGTAAGGAGAGAATATACTAGACCAGCTCGACATGACTCTACTGTAGACCCTACAGTTGTAGCGGTGGAATTCGGCCAAAATTGCGAGATTTGCTGCATTTACGGGATTTGCGGGATTTAGTTATAAATTCTTCTGAAACAACTTTACTTGGAGTCTGCATAAAGATTTGGCTTTAACTTGATGAGACGAATCTTTCAGTATACATTATGCCCGTAATCCATGGGTGATACGGTAGACATATGATACTACTTTGTCATTTTCAAAATTTGCCCATACGAGCAATAGCAACATAGCGACCACATTTGATAATCTCATAACACATGCCAATACAATGCAATGCACCATGGAAAACGGGCATGATGTATACCAAAAAATACGTCTCATCAAGCTGAAGCCAAATCTTCTTGATTCCAAATAAATGTGTTTTAGAAGAAGTAAGTCCTGAATCCCGCAAGTTCCGCAAATGCCGCAAATCCAATCCCGCAATTTTGGCCAGATTCCACCGATACAACTGTATGCGCAGCGGAACGTTGTCTAAGCTTGCACCTAAAGGCTGAAGATCAAAATGAAATTATTGCGCTCAAGATTGCCACAGTCTGAACCGGAATTAGTCCAAAATGTCATGTCGACTTTGACTACGACAATCTGTCCCTGCTATATATGAAAACTGGATTCCCTCATTCCTTTTAATGGCCTAATTATCTGGTTCGAAATTGAACAAGGTAAATAATTCAAAGAAATTAGCTGATGGAGGACACCAATCAATTCAGCGTTGAGGCAGCATTAGGGCAATTTTTTTCGCTTACTTAGGCCTATCCTTCCCGCTGCTTTCGAAAATGCAGCTTACAAAGAACGAAAATGTCGAAAACGGGCTATTTGAGAAGCCCCTGATTTTGATTTTGGAAGCCTGCCGCCGAGGTTAAGACGCAGAGTCTTAGAGGGACTCTACGTTTACACGTGGATATACGCACTAGGGTTTAGGGCCGGGCACGAGTCCGTTTCTAGGGTTTCTGAAAACGAAATCTCCCTTGACTTTCGGAAGTTTTACGAAGTCCCCTTCGACGCACCTGTTTAGGAGAAGACGAAAACAAGAAGGACTTACTAGTCTGAAAGAAGAGACGTAAGATAAGAGTGAAAATCCAAATTGGAGCTGAATATTACGCATGCACAAGATTTTGGCATTAGGCCCCGGACAGACTTCACGCGACTTAATCGTCGCGATCTAATCGCCAAGATTTCCATTCATTTTCATTTCACATTCAAAAGTTCCGGGCTGGAAAAGTGTCACAACCGAATGCAAGTTGATCGGCATGGAATGATGTTGTAACAGTTGTCTCGTCGCGATTCAGTCGCGACGATCAAATCGCGTGAAGTCTGCCTGGGGCCTTGGAGCGCATATTTAACAAAGCGAGAAGAAATGGAAGCAAACAAAAAAAGGAAAGGCAATGACATGAAAGTGTCTTGATGCTCAGGGATAGATTTTTGACCGGGAAATCCGTCCATGCTAAAAAGATCCGAAACTTATGTGAAGTGATGAAAATATATGCTCCAGACGATCTCAGATCGTCTGGTGGCCGTCTGGAGACGATCTATTTTTGGAAAAGGTATTACTTCACATAAGTTCTTAAGCCTTTTTACACAATACTTTCGCAAATAATTTTCTATACATACAGTTCAGTTTTGGTGTCATATGCTTCTGTGTGCGCTATAAACAAGCAATTTGTTTATTTAAGCCTTACTTTCAAATCGCGCGCACTTTTCGCCATGCACGATAGAGCATGTCAATCGGTGATTACCTGTCCGAAAAGTTTGTGTTCGACTAAATGGCGGTTACACTTGATGCTCGGTTCCGACTCGTCAAAAACAATATCCCCTTTACTGTTTGCTTCAAGAACGAAGTCCAGCCTGCTCCCAGACGATCTGTGCCGGGCTCTGGGCTTACGATTAACCCCCGGTGGGCGGGTCCTCCGACCGTGGCGTAACTATCCAACTCTACCAACTTCCGGAGCATTTTTGTCGCTTCCAGTTCCACAAAATGTGCCCGCGATTGGGCTGGTGGGTATGTCAACGCGGCTACTTTTGCGCGACAGTGAAATTGCAAAACCCCCAACCTAGCGCGGACACCGCCTTTGGAAACCTATATACAATTACTAGCTGATCTGCCCGGTCCAGCCCGGGAATGATGATCACTGATCGGGAATGAAGATAAGGTATTCGGTGGCATTGTAGAAACTGTGTAAAGAACAAAAACAAAATGTGAACACTTATTAGTCGGTAGCATATCTCTCTTTCTCCAGTCAAGTTCAACACGCAAAACCTAAGCAAGCAGCGCGAGTTAATTGATAGCAGCGCTCATTGTTATTATGGATCATTTTTTGTGACACTTTGCCGTTAACCGGCTACTTCATCTTCATTCACTGCTTGCCGTCAATCTTTGTGGAGTCGGCAGTACTTTGCACTCGCGCACTTTCCTGGTCCCAGGGATCAACTATAGCGAATGTGAGTTGTCGCTTGTCTTGACATTATTTCTGGTATTAACAAATAGTTTGTGCGCAATCTCATGAAAAATTTTGACCCCTCATTGTTTAAATTGAGCATGTAACGAAGAAAGCATTGATTATAAGCGTAAATTGAGCACGCTTCCGTACAAAACACTCACTACAAAGCACTCATGGTCTCTTGCACGCTAAGGTTTCCGCATAAGATACATTTAGTGCATCCATTTAAATGAGCAATTGAGACTCACATCAAGAACACTTTTCACTGCACTTCGTCAACAGAAGTTCACAATGAGACATGCCAGCCTTGTTTACATACCCCTGTTTTGATAGCAAATGATAAGAATCATTTTTATTGCAAAGTGCTGCAAATCAATAAATCGATAGAAGGACCCAACGAATCGCTGCAAAAAGTAGCCTATCATCTGCGCAAGGCTCGAAAACATATGTGTGTAAAGTTTCAGCTTAATCGGTTGAGCGGCGCGCGTTTCTATAACGCACATACCCTCCAAACTGACAATTTTTGAGTTTTATATATATATAGATTTCAAAAGCGAACAAATAAATGCAAAAAGTGAAGGTGCTTTTGAAAAGGATTTTTTAAAGAAAACACTTACCAGCAGTTTGTAGAGGTCATACATATGTTTATTGAAAATGATCATTGTGAAGTTAGGCCTTGAAAGTGACTGCTAGAGGTAATAAGATTGGTTGAAGACAAGAGAAAATAACAAAACGCAATAAACTCATTATATCCCCATACAATTGTTTTCAAAGTGTTGTACCAATGAGTATCAAGATTTCATTTAGCTCGCGGATTTTGGCTATGCTCTAATAGCCATTGTTTCTCGCGGTCCACCATGCGGTACTGTGGAGTATATGCCTCCGGAGATAATTAACGAAACACCTTTTGACCACACTGTATGTACTGCGTTCTTTCAGCATATTTGTAATACTAACTCAATAAAAATGGACTCAAAGTACACTATCTAGATAGACAATTGGGCAATTGGGGTGCTCTTGTATGAAATGTTGGTGGGACAATCACCATTCCACTATGATGACACCGCAGAGATAGTAGAGGCAATTCTCGCATGCGATTTGAAGGTTAAATAATTTGTAAAGTTTTATCTAGTCCAAAAACCGTTGTCTTCCTATTCAGATTCCAATGATCGTGAGACAAGAACCAGCGGAGTTAATCAACAAACTGATTGTAAAGGACCCAGCTAGAAGGTGCTGTCTGAGAAGACTGATCTTCAAAGCCAAATTACTTGATGGTAGATTGCTTTCAGGGCAACACTTACGGAAGTTATGACCAATCCTTGGGTTGCTTGCTTATCAGGCATCTCAGCAAAATGAGAAGGATATGGTTTTAATTTGGCTTTTTAATCTTCTACATAGTCCAGTAGTCTCTTTCTTCCTGGAACTGAATCTTGCTTATGCCTACTATATATAAAACTTGTATATAACAGTTGGACTTGTACAAGAAATATGAAAGATTCGGCACTAAATAAAGAAACGAAATCAATTGCCTTCCACATAAAGAAACATCTCCGTAAAATGAATAAAGGAATCTAGCAGCAACACCAACGTAGTAATTATTCTTTTGCAACTGGTCGATTTGAAGCATGAACTAGGTGGAAATTTCTCTTCAATTTCTACCAGCCTCGAATGGGTTAGACGAATTTTGAAGATGTAGTTTTTTTGTTTTCCTGTCTGTGACTGGCAAGCGGGCACCGGAGACATAGTTCGTTGATTCCCTGCGGTCCGCCCGCAGAAATCTGGAGGAACGTTGGACAGTTTTTAGACGAACACTCGGAAAACTAATAATTTCCATGTTCCGTAGTCATTAAACCTGGGCATGTTCGTAAGTATCGAATATTGTTGTGCCGAACAGGTTGTTAGGTGGTCCTTTTATTATCAGTACTCTTCGGCCTTACGTTTCGACGCTTTCGTCTTTATCAGAGGCCTGGAATGGTTCAAAGCTTCACCCGTAACTCCAGCCCATCAAACGTCTCCACTAGCCCCTGCCAGTTCTCGGCACTTCCCCCAATCTAGAGCTATAAAAATTGTAACGACAAAGACATACCAGGGAACCACCGCTTCGTTAAATGTCCGTACCGGATGTAGATGTTCGCGACGGACGATTGAGCTATACTGGGGGATGTCACATAAACAGTTATAGCTCACATAATGATAAGAACGGAAGAAAATCAGCGGTTATGGATAAGCACTCGTTTTTGTTGTTCATTTCTGGATTCTTTGCAGAAATCCAGAACGATTCTAAGGCTTTCCTGGCCGAAATCTCTTTTTCAACGTTAGGATTGTAACTTTGATATCAAAGTCATCTCCACCATGCGATTCGTGTCTGTGTCTGCCAAGCGGCGAAGCCAAGTTCTTGCGCCTTTTATCTGACAAATGCTCTTGATGCGAATGCCAAGTGTTCTTCCTGTTTCCCCAATATAGAGTGCATTACATTTCATACATTCAAGCTGATACCGCTACACCGCTCCCATCTTCGCACAGTCACCCATTCTGCCGTGCGGGCATATCACGCATTGCTCTGTATTGCAGTATCGATCGTAGAGCCTGTTACGTACGGGCTGTTTTTTGATATTATCGTTGGGAACGTTCACTAACATATCATCTTGCAGCTGCGCACGAACGATGCACTTCTGTATAGCCGCGCTGATCTTATCAGAAATGAATGGCAAGCAAAGTGGAAGTTTGTTATCAGCCCGAATGTTGTTGCCATTTCTTCGATGGTGAACGTGCGATGAAGAATAGTAACCGTTATTGCAAGCTATTTGGGTAGCCAGTCTGCGTGATTCGCATCGCTCCTCCTCTCCGTTGCATCGCGGTTCTAAACATATTACCAATAACAGCACGCTTCACAGAAGCAGGATGTGCAGATTTTACATTGATGAGAATATTTTTAAGCCTTTCCTTGCGATACCATTTGATTCTTACAATGCCAGCGGTCACCTTTACTTGAGCGTTGAGATAAGGCAGCCATCCATCGCGAGGTATCTCACGTGTGAGCTTGATGTATTGTGATTGCTGATTAAGAATTCTGAAACGCTCGTCCATTTCGGACTGTATTGAAGTTGCAACACAGCAATCATCGATGTAACGACAATACATCAATGGCATACGTGCTAGGACTGGCTCTTCGATTCTGCTCATACAGCATATGGCGAGAATTGGTGCTAGCCTTTGGCCCATAGCTAATCCACGTACCTGGGAGTAATAAGTCCCAGAATGGGAATGGGATCGTATATATCGTATATGTATTATATACGATCCCATTCCCATCGTCCTTCTATAGACAACATGAACCAAATTTTTGTGTAGACATGAAGTTCCGGCTCTTATGCTCTGGTGTCTTAGAAGTCTTGAGTCATAACGAGAGCGCCAAAGCAACCTTTCACGAAATCAGTGACAAGGTTTGAAAGAAATCCGTGAACTCATCTCGAATGGTTCTGTACGTCTATCAGTAAGCGACAAGGGTGGCGAATTTTTAATAATTCCGCAGGAACTGGATCGTAAAATAACTGCAGCCCACCTCGCAGACGCTACAACGTATGCAGTGGTCTCTGAAAAAGAATATCGAGCCCAATGTAAAAAACTTAATGAGGCGTGGACTACGATTGCAAAATCTGCCGGACTTGCTGATAGTCTCGTAAGCAGATTGAAAGTGACAAATCCGTCCTGTCCAGTTTTTTACAGCCTTTTGAAGACCCATAAGCTTTCCGAACACGAAATGAACTCAATGTCAGCGGCAACTTACAAAATTAGACCAATTATCAGTTGCGTAGGCGGCCCCACCGATAGGATTTCATGGTACCTAAATAAGATCGTGAGCCAGCTGCTAACGAAGGTATACCAGCACACTTATCCAACGCACGCGAGTTTGTGGTACAGCTTCGCAACGCTAAATTTGATTCGAGCACGGTACTTGAGTCGTTTGATGTAACGTCTCTTTACACTAATGTACAGAATGACCAAGCTTTGCAAGCGTTATTGGAAATGTTGGATAGGCATGCTGATACAATAAACATGTTTGGACTCAGCAAAGCGCATACGATGGTCCTAGTGAAAGAATGTCTAAAATGCACCATTTTCAGATGGTCTGGGACTTATTGCTCCCAGGTACGTGGATTAGCTATGGGCCAAAGGCTAGCACCAATTCTCGCCATATGCTTTATGAGCAGAATCGAAGAGCCAGTCCTAGCACGTATGCCATTGATGTATTGTCGTTACATCGATGATTGCTGTGTTGCAACTTCAATACAGTCCGAAATGGACGAGTGTTTCAGAATTCTTAATCAGCAATCACAATACATCACGTACATACATCATAAGCTCACGAGATACCTCGCGATGGATGGCTGCCTTATCTCAACGCTCAAGTAAAGGTGACCGCTGGCATTGTAAGAATCAAATGGTATCGCAAGGAAAGGCTTAAAAATATTCTCATCAATGTAAAATCTGCACATCCTGCTTCTGTGAAGCGTGCTGTTATTGGTAATATGTTTAGAACCGCGATGCAACGGAGAGGAGGAGCGATGCGAATCACGCAGACTGGCTACCCAAATAGCTTGCAATAACGGTTACTATTCTTCATCGCACGTTCACCATCGAAGAAATGGCAACAACATTCGGGCTGATAACAAACTTCCACTTTGCTTGCCATTCATTTCTGATAAGATCAGCGCGGCTATACAGAAGTGCATCGTTCGTGCGCAGCTGCAAGATGATATGTTAGTGAACGTTCCCAACGATAATATCAAAAAACAGCTCGTACGTAACAGGCTCTACGATCGATACTGCAATACAGAGCAATGCGTGATATGCCCGCACGGCAGAATGGGTGACTGTGCGAAGATGGGAGCGGTGTAGCGGTATCAGCTTGAATGTATGAAATGTAATGCACTCTATATTGGGGAAACAGGAAGAACACTTGGCATTCGCATCAAGAGCATTTGTCAGATAAAAGGCGCAAGAACTTGGCTTCGCCGCTTGGCAGACACAGACACGAATCGCATGGTGGAGATGACTTTGATATCAAAGTTACAATCCTAACGTTGAAAAAGAGATTTCGGCCAGGAAAGCCTTAGAATCGTTCTGAATTTCTGCAAAGAATCCAGAAATGAACAACAAAAACGAGTGCTTATCCATAACCGCTGATAGCGCTTTATAGCTCTAGATTGGGGGAAGTGCCGAGAACTGGCAGGGGCTAGTGGAGACGTTTGATGGGCTGGAGTTACGGGTGAAGCTTTGAACCATTCCAGGCCTCTGATGAAGACGAAAGCGTCGAAACGTAAGGCCGAAGAGTACTGATAATAAAAGGACCACCTAACAACATGTTCGGCACAACAATATTCGACACTCGGAAAACTATCGCGGTCTTTCTACGGATAAGTTGCGGCCCAGTGACCGCATTCTCGCGTACCTCCCGCGAGAATACGCGGAATTATTGAGGGCCGCGCGGTTCTCTGTGAGGGACGCACTGCCTAGGGTACCTTCCGCAGAAGAAAGGTACCCCAAACTCGGGTAATCAAACCATCGATGACACCTCTGCCACATAGAGTTTCATTTTCTCGGCGTACGCCCGAAACTCCGTAAAAAGAGCCCGAGCGCCTGCTGAAAGTTTGGCCGGCGCTTGCCGAAAGAAATTATTTGCCGAGCGCTTGCAAAAAATGCTGTATTGCTGCCCACTGGCAGAATATGCGATTGTGAAGGAAGTGCCGCCCGCTGAATTTGGCCACGCCCCAAAATTCTGCTGACCGCCTGCAGAAAAGCGCGAGTTTGCGGACCGCCTGTCCCCGGCGATTATCTGAGCGGCGATTATCTGTGCTGTTGTGGCCCTTTTTCAACCAAGCTATCACAAACACAAAAAATTGAGCTTGATGAACCCTGCATAAAGAAAAGTGCATTTTTGCATTTTCCGGTTGCTATTTCGTTATAGTTGGTGAACTAAGAGCGCGGAGACGTTAGCGGAAGTGATGAGCCTAAGAAAATCCCACGCATACCTTCAAAAGCGCCCCACTGCTTCTATGCTGATTGCACCTAATAAGGAAAGCAACGTAACTTAGCTCGGCCTTTTGGTGAAAGGCGCATATATTCTAAATCAACTTCAAACGCTGATTCCAAATATGCCCTTCTGCTATGCACCATAATGAAGCGAGTTATGGGCTTTTTCCTACGCAAAATTGGCATACTACTGAACATAATAAGATTGCCTGCAAATAAAAATCTGCAAGAAAAAGGTAATATTCCGTGAATGACCGCTGACCGAGCGTGCGCGCGTCCCGCGGTTGACAACTGCCCGCGCGCCGCGTGCGCGTTCAACCTTGCATGATTTCAATCTATTTGGGCGACCGTCTTCGTCTTGGAACAGATATTACTGAGGGAAATTGTACAAGCCCAATCTTTTCTCACT